TTGCTATGTAGTTCAGGCTGGCCTTGAACTCATAGAAACCCTCCTGCCTCAGTCTCTTGAGCTCTAGGATGACAGATGTGCACCATCATGCATGGATCCTATGCATGAATTTTGATTTAGAGTGATTTAGGTTTACCCTTCCTGTCTTCTGTTTACTCCTCCAAGTATGTCCAGCAGTTCAAAAAATGAAAGGCTGGCCAAATAGCTCAGCGGATTAAAGCACCTGCAAGCAGGCACAGGGGCCGGGGTTTTGATCCCCAGGCCTGCTGCTGGCCCCTCCCCCAGGACGCACTGAGCTGGCAATTGAGATTGGGCGTGGTAGTGCATGCCTGTAATCCCAGCTATTGGGAGGCTGTAAACAGGTGGATCACTACAAGTCCAATTTACTAGTGAGACTGTGAACACCCTTCAGAGCCTTCCCTAAAATACAAACAATAAACAAACAAATAAAAATTAAAAAATAAATAAAAAACAGGATGCAGGAGAATAGTTCCTCTCCCTAGAGAGGTGACCTTCTTTCCTGCTCCAACCTCGTGCCCTGCTCCCTGGCCACCAGAACAGGAGCAGCCATGCTGATTCTGGTTCTAGAGACAGCTGATCATGCACTGTAGCCAGGAGCCAAACTAAAACCTTCCTCCTTTAAGTTGCAGGTGTCAGGGGTTTTGTCCCAGTGAGGAGAAAAAGGGCTGAGGCAGAGGATCTTCCTTCTGCAGCCCTTGAACAAGTGGACCAGAATGTGCTCATAGCATGAGCGATCTGTGAGAGGCAGGGAGACGGGATGGAAAGAGTAGCAACCCTTTAAAGGGAAGGCCTTGGAGCGAATGGGGAAAGCCACTAGGGCGGTCTGACATCATGGGCCACCACCAGGAACAGGCATGGCAGTATCTGGTGACCAGCACACATGGCATCTCAGCGAGAGAGCGCTCCCATACCTGCCCCATAGTCAGCCTTTATTTTGTATTCAGGAGTCCTGTCTTCCAGCTGTTCGCCCTTTGCTTTGTGATACTGGGTCCTGAACCCAGAGCCTTGTGCATGCCAGCCAGCACTCTACCACTGAACTACACTGCTGGGCCTAATGGGATGAGGTACCTGTTGGGGGGAAGTGGTAGATGTTCTGAAATATCTCCCACAGGCTCCTGTGTTGGAGGCTTGGGGTACCCAGTGCAGTAATGTTGAGAGGTGGGCTTGGGGGGAGCAACTGCATCATGAAAGCTGTGATCTCATCACCCCAGGCCCAACCTCACCACCCACCCAGAGGCAACAGACAATTTTTTAATAGTAATTTTTAATAGCAATTTTTAAGATCAATCACATTAGGGAAAGTATTCTTATCTCCATTTAATCTATTTAGCACCTTTTAAAAAAGCACAGTTACATGACATATAACTTGAACATTTTTATATTAAGGTATTGGTGATAATTCCAGAGGGTGTTATCAGAGGTGAGATTGGGTCTCAGGATAATGAGATCACAGCTTTCGTGATAAGACAAAATAAAATAAAAAAGTATAGACACAAGATGACTCTTTAATTGTGTACAACGGGACCATGGACCATGGACTAAGACTTCCAAAACTGAGCCAAAACAAACTCTCCCTTTTTTAAGTTGATTTTCTCAGGTATTTTGTCACACTGACAACAATCTGTTTGACATAAACCCCAACCCCTTGAGTTGTTTTATCCCCCTAGCCTCCCTCCTCTCCAGTTGTGACTTGGATCTGTCTCAGAAGTTGAGGTTCTGGAGCTTATATTTCCTAAAAAGATGAGAAGTGATAGCTGCAAATCCTCCTCTTCTTCTTCACGGTGGTCTTGGTCTTTTAGATTTTTCGTAGTGCAGATAAAAGATAAATACCGTGGTGCCTTCAAGGTAAACACACTTGGTCTTGGTAATGTGGTCACTCCTGTGGTGCTTGCTGGTCTGATGTGACATTCAAGTGAAGCTCCCTTCCCCCCATGGATGATGGCAGGGAGGAAAGAGAAGAGGGATCTGAAAACTCTTGTCCTTCCTTGATAAAAATAGTAATAATTATCACT